TGTCCCTTTGCTGATCTTTTCGTCACGAAAGTATCTCCAAAGTGTTTAAAAGCAAGTGAATGAAAGCTTTGGAAAGCAAAAACAAGGATTCCATTTCACTCTCGCACTGCTTGTTTCCCTTATAATCATTTGCGCTGTCATCAATACTGTCATGAACTAATTGCAACGAACGGCTGTGATGTGTTGTCCGTCTGCTAATGTTTTCGGTATGAAATCAACTACAAAAATTTCAACCATATTTGCATGTAATCATTTGGAATACAAACAATAATCCATATGAATTTTCTTCATTTCGTCTGTTCGTCAGCGTCGTAATAGATTGATTGGTCACCTACAAAGTCAAACAGAAGAATGATCAGTTCAACTTCACAGGTTGAGCAATCCATCATGTAGTCAGTGTCACAATGTCATGCTGGAAATATGCTCCAGATATTTTCGAATAGTGATGGTGGGCATATCCGATATTTAATCGATATAGAATGTGTCCGATGCACTTTGTAGATGAATGGTGACGATCAGTGATGATCGACAATTGCAGTTGTTGTAGCTTCACTCTCGACAACTTAACGCAACCATTGACGCCATAAAGAGCTTATCGAGTAGTGCCACGTTATAATGGCATAACTATTGTGCCTCATACTCTCAATCAAATAGCTTCTCATTCACCAGGAAACTGTTCGTTGATCATCAAATAAACGAATTATTATGTGAATACACAAAAGTGAACGTTCATCGGATCGCTCATAGCGTAATCCATAGCGTAATCCAGAGGTGTACATCATATGCCATCGATTGCTCCCGTTATCATTCCAGTTGCGGAATACTGATTAGCATAGTACCAGTGAACTTCGTGTTATTTTGAATATTTCTAACGCAACTCGAACATGATCAATGTACAGAGCGATATTGCTTCGTACGTCATGTTCGCGAAAGTACCTTCACGCTAGATCGTCAACGTGTCGTAGCTGTTCGAATTTATCGGCTTGCTCATAATCCGAAGTTACGCTTATAAAAGTGACATGTTGAAGCTGAGGGCTACAGTCGAATGTGATTCCTGCTTGCTGATAAGACTCAATTGTTAGAGCTGAGATGTACAGCTTCCTCCTAGTAAAATCAAATATTAATTTGAATGTATATTTATATTCAGTGACGCTGATCGTGGCTGAATTTTTCATAAACCTTTTAATGCATGTACATTTCTGATAAGTTCCATATTTTAGGTAACAAATCTGTTATCATTGGAAAGAAGATGAAGTATTTCTCGCTGATGGTGTTTTTTGCGTTTGCCATTTCTTCATTGGATGCGCTTCGTTGTATGCAAGGCCACAGACGCTCTACTGCGGTCGATGGTAGTATCAAGGGGGGCTTTCATGATGCAGAATGCGAATCATCAGAATACTGCTTTGAGTGGAATATGAAAGCAGGTATTTACGGAATAATTTTTCAATTGCGTTGATGTTAAACGTTTACCTCTTTTAAGAGAACACTGATTATGCTAAGCATGAATCAATTTCAGTGGCTCATAACCACTAACTATGACGCGGTTTAGTTTTGAGTTCGGGAAGGTTGAATGTACATATTATCATGCAGGGTATATTTGAAGTCCGTTGTCATTCAGCAGCACTTTGATGATTTACCTGATTGACTGGATCGATTCCGAGCAGTTGCAAACAGATCATCACAACACTCCATAATGGAGCATTTCGCGGGGACCCATTCCCCCCCGGTCCATTTTTCTTCCCGCGGGGAAGCCCCATCGTGCAAAAAACTGCTTCCCGACGAACACTGATTGCGACCATTATCATATTCCGATTGAGCATACTTCATCAGCTATGTGAATTTGAATGTTTCATTCGATTTCAGAGAAATACAACTTTTCATTGACTGTGAAGGCGTGCGAAAAAGAATTTGACCGTCAAGATTATAGTTCTTTCGTGGATCCCTACACCGGCCCTATCTGCAACGTGAGTTGGTTTCTCGATACGAGTTGTTCTCACCTTCGTTTGCACCATTACCCATTTTGATGACCTGGCAAGCCGCCATTACCCCAGCCCACTGACACCTCGAAATTACCCTGAACGCGTAATTTCTTTTGGCGTTTATTTGCAATAACACTAGATAATATTATAGAAACACAAAGCATTAATATCATACAAGCACAATGGGAGCAAGTACATGCGATAGTTCCATTTCATCATCCGAATCAATAAGGCAGTACAAGACGATCATGCAAGCATAAAGGATCCAACAGTTACATACAAATATTCCATTTCATCATGCTTATCTTATATCCATCCCTATACATGCATCATATCTTATACATAAACAGCTAAGGTACAAAGCGAAAGGTTGATTCACAGATCACTTTTGTCCATAGATCGCTTTGGTTTCCCTGACTTTCGCGTTCCCCGCGACGATTTCACTCCTTGTGAGAATCACTGTCCTAGATTGCAATCGATTATGATTGCACGAGAAGCCATTGTCTAGGATACGCTTAGTTCAAACTGATTTAGATGGATTCTCATTCTTTTCAGACATGTTCTATTCACTCTCATAGCAATTCCATGTGAATATTGTTCTCTTGATGAGTTTTTCTCATTCACTTCGTTTCATTTCACTTCACAGTTCGAATCAACTTCTCATTCTGTAGCAAATACTATTTACTGGATACGTTGACGAGTGTCGACAGCCGAAATCAACAATACAGCAATCGAATATTATTGCGCAACAACATTCGACAGTCAAATGATCAACTATAGAGTGTATTTTATAGAATGAGAATCTAACTTAAACTGTTGAGTGAAATGAATGAGAAATTCGCAAAACTGAACACTTTTGACGAAAAAAGCTGTGAAAGTGATTGTAACATGTAATAGAAATGAAAGAATGAAAAGCCAGTGAAAACGACTGAAAACCCTATTAGGCCCGGATGAGCTAATGACACTCAGAAAATATGAGAATGAAGAATGTTACCATCAACCAACCGCATTTACATACACGGGTTAAAAACACCATCACAATGGCGTTCTATCATGAAATAACAATTGCACGAAACATTGCGCTCCCGATCTCTTCTATTACCTTTTGATATAACCTTTTGATACCTTTTGATATATCCAAGTTACCCAAAGTGGGTAATTTCACCCCCTAAGAGAACCACTGTTCTACACGCTGATCTGAAACAGCGACTTTCTTGCGCCAATGCTGAACGATGTTTTATTGAAGGATCTGGACAGCGATGGAGACGGAAACTGGAACACGACGATTGGAAACAAAATTATTACAATGAATATGCGCTGTTGCAATACTGATTTATGCAACGGTAAGTGTATGGTTGTCAGAAATGATCGAATACAGAAGCACAAATTAGAATTACAAGCCGAAATGACTTGTGCTTTTTTTTCTGAACGTGTGTAGTTCCCTTTGATAGACATTTGTTGAGAATTACTCATAATTGCACCAACTGATGCTTATGAATGATAGCGTATTTGACCGATGTTTTCATAAATGCTTGAAGAAAATTGTATGATCCAAACAAGCGAAGAAATTCTTTCACGTATGTTCGCCTTAGCATAAAGAACTGTCTGGTACAGCCACATGGAACGCAACTTTCAGATCCGCAATGGACAGCTCCAATTGCAAGTAAACCATCGACAACACGGAAAAAATCAACGACAGGTGCTCAAATAAGCACTACAAAACCATTAAAGTGTAATTATAGGAGCTTTGAACAAGCAGATGATGGAGACACTGAAATGCAGTGCACGAACTCGAAATACTGTGTTGATTGGTTAAGCGTATCACGTTGGTTGTTTATATGAATTTGTTTTCGTTTATGCACTAACCGACTCTATCTGTTGGCTATCGAGAGGAATTATAAGGCGAATCCCCAATGGACAGTCGTTTTGTTGCTCACTAATGTGTGCATTTGAAGCGTCCATGATTGCAAATCATTACCGGCATGGGGCCCTGACACTTCATCCCTAACAATAATATTATTTTCTCCACTGCTTGAAATCGCCTGTTCGCAGCCACACCAGTGATACACATTTCCCAGCTCAAGATAGCATCCTGTCCCGAACATATGCGACCCCGTGGCTTTTCATAACCGTTTTGGAAGACACACTAGGTACCAGAAGTTCTATCAAACATTTCAGCAATGGAGGTTTCTGACGAAATGTTATTGGTTCCGATAATTCGTTTGCTTAATCGACAATTATGAGGAATGATGGTTTATAGAATTAAAAGTTTCCAATAACATGAAATAAAGAGACCTCAGACGTTTTCAGCTAACAGAAAGCCAGTTAACGTGAAATTCTGCGAAGATGAATACAAGGATTTCGAAGAAACTTATGCCGAAAAAGATGTTGATTGCGAGGTTTGATATTTCAGATAACCATAAATTGCAATTGCTTGAATGAGTTCTCTTTATCGAACAGACTCCCCCGCTTAATAAATCCTCGCAAAATCTCTAGGATTTCACTAACGCATTATTCTCTTCGTCTTGTGGATTCCCGTCTGTTCGATTAGATTGACGATTGCTAAAACTGAGGAAATACAAATCTTTCATAGTTGTGAACGGTGGAATAGACTAGATTTGGTGATCGAAGAAATCGTTGATAAACATATATGTGCGTGTATTGTGTGACTACTTGTTCTATTGTAGGAATTGATCGAAAACGGTAATGGATGCAAAATATTGCGAAGTGATCATGCCTTTAACGTAACAGTATGCTGCTGTTCGTCAGATTTGTGCAATGACAGGAGAATAAAGCAGGAAAGTGCAGCGAAACCAATTCCCACGAGTATGGCACCAAGCCTAGGTAGGAATTTTGTTCTGACTAGTCAATTTGTAACAACATTGGTTTCAATTGAGACTGCAAGCTTAACTGAGGTTGATAAGCCGGAAAACTGGAAGTCAATATCGTATGGACGACCATCGCTGACTGAAAGCGAAAATTCGTGATAATCACCTCAATCTTCAAGTGCGGTTGACCCAAATGAGACTAGTACCTCGTAGGGTTCATCTCGGTCATCGTTACAATCTGCAAGTACAAGTCGGAAGTAGAAATCTGAGTGAAACGGTTTTTTTAAACGAAATCTGCACAGGTCTTTTCGACATGCTTTCGCCGAGGATTGCTCGTAATCATTCCCTCGAATTCCATGAATCGATAATATCCTCAGCTGATGCTTTTGCAATTGTTTTATGATGACTACATGATTCCATCGGCCCAGAAATTTTATCATGGTTATTCGCCGCCTATCGAGAGAAAATTTTCCATTTCAGACGCAAAAAATAAAAACGCAAATTTTAGTTCCGGAAACGGCAGCTGAAATAGCTACTACCACAACTCAGGCGATAAATACAACCGGAGTGACTGATGTTGAAGATAGTGTTAAAAAACCTTTAAGCTGCTATGTCGGTGGGAAAACCAAGAATGTCAAACAGCGATTAGTAGACGAACAAGGATACAAAACAGTGCAATGCCTTGAATCGGAGTATTGCGTTGATTACTCGATGACTTCACGTTGGTTTTTTTATAATTTGTGAAGGAAATATGAAACGAATCCGTAATGGAGAGTCTATTCGTTGGTCATTAATTCGTTCATTTAATACGTCAGTAAGTGCAACTCATTAGCGGCAAAATGCCCCGACACCTCATCCCAAACTATCGTTTACTCCGCTCGTTGAAATCGTCGGTTTCCAGCTACACCAGTGATCTGCATTTGCCCAAAGTCTTTTCATTTGACCGATTAGGTACCAAAACGCGGAGAATTTCTCTTGTGCCAATTCATTTCAATATTGGAGGTTTCTGAAGAAATGTGAATGATTATTCAACAATCATAAGGAGTGCAGGTGTTCAATTCCAATAAGACGAAATGAACAGACCTTAGACACTTTCAGCTGCCGATGAGACATTGAATATCAACATAAAAAATTGCGATGGTGAGATCGGCGAACTTGATGCGATGATTCCCCGAGGAAATGTTGATTGCAAGGTTTGATTTTTCAGATAACCATAACTCGCATTTGGTTTAATGAGTTCTCCTTCTCGAACAGAATCTCCCGCTTAATAAATCCTCTTAAAGCATCTAGACTGTCACTGACGCATTGTTCTCTTCACCTTGCGGATCCTCGTCTGTTCGATTAGAATGCTAATTGCTGATATTGGGGAAATACATAATTCCCATTGTTGTGAACCGAGGGAACAGGTCGGATTTGGTGGTCAAAGAAATTAGTGATGAACAACACGTGCGTATATTTTATGATTGCTTGATCTATTGTAGGATTTGATCGAAAATGGTAATGGATGCCATATGTTGCGAGATGATGGTATCTTTAAATTAAAAGTATGCTGTTGTGAGTCAGATATGTGCAATAATGTAGGAATAGAACTGAGCAACATATCGGCTGCAAGAAACACGACGTCCAGTCTAAAGCTCAGTGGTCCGGATGTCGAAATCATGGGTGAGAATTTGATTTCCTCAAGTCAGTTTGCAGCATCGAAGTTTTCAAGTGAAAATAAAATCTTTACAGGGAATGAGAGCTCAGAAAAATTAGCGCCGATTTCAAGCGGAAATAAACCGAGTGTGTAACGTCGCGTTAGCATTTGTGGTTTCAGGGATTTGATTTTATTATTTTATATTTTCATAATCTCGCATTCGTGCAAGATGTCCGTGTTTTTCTAAAAATTTTATTGTTGTTGAATAAAGCTGTCCTTTATTTTCCAACCAATCACTTAACAAAGCCGTTTTGAAGTGATATCGTTCGAAATCATTTGAACACTCGGCTTCTGCTCAGAAGTTCAAGTGATTCCGGTAACTTGCATCACTCCGTTGTCATGTCCTTACCCGAAATAATGGTCAACATGTTGCTGGTGTCATGATAGTTTGCTTAACCTGAGAAATCAAACTTAAGGATAACCACAAAGTCAGAAACGTTTACTTTCATCACTTCCATAGACCATTATTACTGTCACTACAGACAAGTCTCAAGATGTTATAGAGAAGTTTTATAAAGTTTAAGAAGTTTCGTGGCTATTGCTGATGCCTCGAACTTGTATCACGAGGCGACTGGCGAATGAAAGAATAACTGAATGAAGGGGATATCGATCTGTTCTATTGATTTACTTAAGCAAAGATGTACTCATGCAATGATAGGCTCAGAAAATGTCGCAAAATTGGTACTCACCTGCAAATGAATGAAAAGCTCTACTTAGACACCTAACTGAGATGAAATGGGCCCGGGTTGATATGTTAGATCCGAAACTTTGGGTCATTCTCACTCATGTTGATTTTTGAACGCACTAGTTGGACTTTAAGAAAATTGTTCGAATGCAATAGCTATTTTCATTATCGATGATGACAACAGCGATGTTTACTTACCGCTGAAGCTTTTTCACTCTTCTTTACATATTTTTTAGCTTTGTTCTGCTCTTTTTTTNCAGACACTTCGACCGAGTTTTCTTTATTTCCACAGTAAAGTTGTTCTCAATGCCAATTTCTGCATTGTTCAATGACCAAAATTCCGAAATTCCAAGTATCAAAATATTCGTCCAATTAACGTCCATATGGCTTTTCATGCAGCAATTGCTAACAGTCGCACATTATCTACACGATAGGATTTTGATGAAATTTGTGTTATCGAGGAAAGATATGTAGGCTGATAAAGCTAACTTAGGGAATTAACGCACCACATGGAGACTACTGACTGCTTAGAATGTGAACACCATTCGATCTGTGCTGCTCACCTGATTCGCAGTGTTAGTCAGTATCATCTTGAAGGTGTTACTTTCGGCTAGTATCAGCAGTCTTCGAGAGATAAATTTGAACAGCGCTTTGCTTGTGAACACACAAAGTGATTCAACTTTTCAGAATAGAATTTCACATGATCTTCTCTCGTGTTTAAGTCTACGACCATTCGGGTCAATCGTTTTTTACATGAAAAATTGACTAATTTAGTGTGAATGCAAGTGTTGAAGCCTTCATTGCAGTACGTCTGAAAATCAACAAACAAACTCGTCTGCTTTGGATTCGGACATGTCGCGAATAAAACCGTTCAGCTCATTTACTCTCTATTTGTATCAGGCTGCAATGATGAACAAATATTGGATGTTGACTATTAATTTAAAATGTGCAGTTTCAATCAGACAAACCACTATTCAATTGGGTATCATAGCACAAACGTACTCTAGCCATCCGCATCNATGTCGAGAGTTTTTGTGGTGACACTCAAAAAAAGTTCGCTTTATTGTCATACATGAACAGACAGTGTGTTTCGCCAAAAAAGTTTTCCGTTTACGATAGATATTCAATCATTAGATTATCACAAAAAAAGTGACTGTCCATCGGCACTTCGAAATGTAACTGGTAGCACAAGGAAGAACGCTATTGTAGAGACGGTAGCCAGGAAGAAGAGCACCAGCAGGAAACGATCAACTACTGTTGCCAATTGTTGCCATTGCCACATTATTCGTTTCCTTTCATCCAAAATCTGAATCATGTCGAACTAAGGAAGCTTCATGGATTCAAGATGATGATGACAATATCCATGTTGCTAACCATCAGTTAGGATAAGCATAATAAGAACGAATAAATTCCACGACTATATCAAATCACGGTAATGGTCGAGTTTAATCATTGCTGTTCCAAAAACATTCAAACAATCCGAGTGAACATCCATCCCGAAAGAATTCTTTTATCAAGATCGCTATCCATCGACATATTTCGTATCATTGCAGTGGGTATGCTAACCTCTTCTCGAATCTCATGCTGTTGTAAGCTACGATATATCCTCTTGAGCATCATTCGAAAACGCTCTTCAAATTCGGCTAACATCTGAGGTCTTTGATTTGTTATCCTTGGCAGCAACTGAAAACAAACCAGCGGTACCATTCCAATGAAGCATTATAAGCGTGCACATTCCGTTGAATATACGATACTACCTGTTTGAGGAAACCCTACCTGTTCCTTAACAACTCGGCCTAGGAAAGCCGAGTCCATGCCTCCCTCTCTAGATCGAAGGCGCTCTCGTCGAATCTGTTCCGGATCACTCAGCAGTGACGCCTCGGTCACATTCACCCTGTCCACCTGAAGGCGAAGATGTTTTGCATGCTTCGATACTGACGGATCATTGACAGTACAGAAATTTTGGCCAAAACTTCATCATCGATTGAACTGATTACAAGGATTTCAAAATATTTTGCATGATTTCTCTAGCGAACTCTTATAGATCACCTAAGAACCATAGCCTAATATCCAATTGCGGCAAACTTCATGAAGATTTATCTGCATTATGTTGACAAGTGTATCTGTCTGGCTGAATAAATCATCTTCTCACCGCTGAATATGCCGTGCGATAACATTCACACTCGCCATCTTCATTGTTACTGTTCGCACTGCGTCGATTCTCAGTGTTCTTCACTCGCTTCAAATCTCGAAGTATACTGCTCCGTCGAATCATCGATGCTTTCGTCTAGAATTTAGTGCTGATTTTACAAGGTATANAACGTTTCATGGGTCAGAACGATCTTGAACATTCTCACTTTATTTTTGAACATTCCTCACAATATATCGAGGAATCAAGTTGAAGTGAAAAGTTATCATAGAGGGAAGTGAAACATGTGATTCTAACAAGACTACCTGAGAGGTTCTTAATAAAGCAATCGAATCTGGTTCATGTATGGTCATTCGCAACAGTGTGGCCATATAGCCGAGTATATATTTTTCCATCCACCAGGGCACACGACGTCCTTGATTGGCAGCTCCATTTCGATGCACATTCAACGTTATCACGTTCACAGAGGTGGCCAAACAGACCATGAATAGAGATGCCACATAATACATTCCTAAAATAGGTTATCGTTGCTTCATAAATTCAAAAATGTCTAGAGAAGTAAGCATTGACTGCTGCTAGAACGTAAAGCAATGGCAGTGAAAAGTTGCACTCACCAATCAGAGGAACGGCTTCAGAAGTTGGTGGTATCGATTCAGTTATGGACTGAAAGTAGTACAATGACATCAAGCCTATTTTACTTTGTAAGTTTTCGATAGTGTTTATCATTTCTGCTCAAAAAAATGCTAAAATGTTCTCGGGTATGAGTATGACGACTGATATATCCAATCAGCAGCTAAACCATGCATTTCTTTCCCTTCTAGAAACACTGGTGAATGTAATTACGTAGGCCTTTGCAATTCAATACTGCTCTTTGTCTTTTAGCTGGATCCTCATTCCCAACCCACAATGATTACTGAAGAATGCTCATCGATATGGACATAAAAAGTGAATCATTAAAGAGGTGCAAATATTATTTTACCTGTAAGTAAACGCCCATACTAAGCATTGTTGTTATGCACATATTGATTTTTTCACCTGTTTCAGGAGGCATGAAAAATCCAAGGACAGCCATTGATGAGATCAAAACACAAGGCAATATCTGAAATGTGCACCTGATTTTAGAAAAATGGCATTACGAAGTGGAATGCTCCTCAAAATTGCGAATACGATGAAAACTGATGCAAAATATAAGCAAGAACATAGTTTACGTGATTAAAAACATAGAAAAGCGGACGTCGGTGCATTCGAATTCGTATCACTATGACAGGCCACTTCAACGTGGTGTCCGTTGGAAATGAGACGATCTGGAATGAACGAGCAAATTCCTGAGGATGGACCTGAATCAACATTAGACTTCCATGGGACAATCACATCTGTACGGAAACGCAAACCTCTCTGGACGCAGTCATTTCCACCAGATCAAATTCACTATTGTTCATATAACTGGACAGATCGCCTTTGTTGGTAATTAATTTCAAGTCGAGTTCGTTCAATTCATGTGACCAAGATGCAAATCTCAGGAAGCATTCCTGAAACATTAATTTCCACAAATGACTGATATTTCTTCAGCTTAAGTCATTGAAAAAAGCAGAAACCTTTTACAGTGTTTGTTCTTCCGTGTTTATTGGCAAGCAAATGAGAACCAATGGGTATAGGAGTTCAAAAATTATTCAACTTAAGTTATTGGCAATTGATCAGATAAAACATTAGTTGCCGATGGATCAGTGAGACTGATGGAAATGTTAATATTTGACCTGATCGTCGAACGGATAGTAGCGAACTTTGATTTGGCATGATGATTTGAAGATTGCCGAGAATAGCCATGTGACGTTTCCATCAGCTGTGGTCATTATATCGGTACTAACGATTGCTTCGTAGTATTGACGAACCGCGCTGAAAANCATAGGCTGATGATAGGACGGCATAGATCACTGGTGAGCAGACTTCCGATACAGCGAATTGAAACAATCATACTCTATGATGAGGCTAATAGCTAAGGAATACCAGCTGTGCGTGTTGTGAATCAGTTGTTTTTTTTGGGAAATCAAACAAGAAACGTTTAAAGCTTTAACAAGCTGATAGTAAGCGTTTTCGCAGTTTCAGTTGCATGTTTGATCGGAATCGCGTAATTTCGAGTGTGATGCGATTGGGTAAACGATGAGAACGTTTTCGATTCCTTGTTATCACTGATGGAAATCATGTTAGGTGCTTTGAAAGAGTTTCGACGAAATGAGCAAACTTACTTGTTCACAAGAATGATATCAGGCTTCCACAATCGGTGATATGGAACGTACATGGTTTTGATACCGCTCCATTCGGTTACGTTCCATGTTAAACGTGGATCAAGCCAGTTCACATTCAGCCAACTTCGAGTGGTGAGCACTTGATTGCGTTCATCCTGGAAAAGCGACTCGATCGAAACCGAACTTCAACACATCCACTTGTCTCATCGGCGAACGATGTGTGTTCATTGCACAAACTGATATTATAATCCTAATAGTTTTTTTTTTTGTTAAGATGAGATAAGGAACTTCAGCGTTTAGTTTCTCATCCCTGAAGTGATACGAAGTTTCGCGAGTTCATCTGCAAAATCGTTTGTGCCATATTGGCTGCAACACAAAGCGAACCATTTCAACGATTTGATTGAGCAAAAATCCCAGAGTGACATTGGTCGGCATCGTGTGATGTAGAGTTGGTCTGACATCCTTCTCATAATTGTCTGGATCCAGAAGCTTCTTGTACAACAATTCCTCTTTCCCGTCTGCCATTGCGCCTGAAACCAGCATATTCATCATTCAAGCTCCAAGCTACTCGCCTCAATAAGATGTCGAGAAATCGACGCAGACTTCAGTCCAGAGCATTTGCTTCCCAGCAGTTGATTAGCGTCATTTTCTAGCTGCTTTCCACTCAAATCCGGGTTTTTCCTTTCGATCAACGCAGACGTTCAGTCTGCCGTATCTGCCAGCAGTTTATTAGGGCTCTTGCTCTGAATTCAGTGCAGAAATTGATTGCTAGGCAACTAATTTTTTACATGATTCTTATCGTATTTAGCTGAGCGTACTCACTCAAAAAATACCATCCATGAGAATAAAGACTACAAAATTCATTGTTTTTATCCTTGTCATATCCCACAATTCCTCTAAATCATCAGTTTTGGATCTCGCCGATGAAATTCCGTCTAAAATCGAATTTTCAATGCATTCCTTACTGAATGATGATATTGGTCACGCTGATTCGTCCCCAAATCACATCATTCAGTTTCAATTTAATGCCGCTAAAGACCGCTCATAAGTCCGCATATCCGTCGAAAATGCTTATGTTTTATGCTGTATGCAGTCGAATGAGCTCATTTGCATCAAACGGCCTTTCATCTCGATCAATTAACGCTTCTCATGCTTGACTCACTCTCGCGTTTTTTGACCAGGCAATAAAATGAAAATTCTGTCTTCAATTGATTTGTGCTTTCGCAGTCGTTATGGGATTCTCCAGCAAAAAAATGTTGTTTTGGGTAATGAAGGAATTTGCATGGAAATTTGCAGCTGAAAACTTCAAACTGGATTTATTGCTTGCCATAAAGCAGTTGAAGAGTGAAGAGAATTGAGTTCAGCGTTGCCCAAGAATCGGCGACCTTTATGGTGATAGTGTTGTTGCTACGGTGGACTAAAACTACCGCCTCATTGTCTACTTGAGCACATCATGGATCCTTTCAACTGCTCGATTACTATCAAATCGCCAATTGATGTATGAATGAACAATTCTCAGACAAATCTTTGCATTTAATTCATTGTTTTGCGGATGATTGCTAGAAAAAAAAGTGTCGCAGCTAACATAATGAAATTCTTCACTTATCTAGTAGCTATTTGCATTATTTATGCTCTAATCACACATTGCAAGTGGCTGTTTGCCTCATAATTGTTCTCGTAATTGTTACTTGTCAGTAATATATTTCCGTGCCGTTCACACCAGCTCCCTACTGAAAATTTCTAGGATTCCTTGAAAAAATTCTCGTAACAGCGAATTTGCAATTCCCTATTTCACATCACGTCGTTAGTTGTTATTATTTATAAAACGAAAGACAATGAGTTATCGATTATTGAATGATGCTACTTTTGTGAAGTTCAGGTTAGTCTGAAATTGAGATGACAACAGCCTGTGCTCAAAAGTATTTAGTGTTTGGTTTTGCATTCATCTTGAGAAGGCGATGAAGCATTCAGTTACGCGTGTGGTTCATTAGGCTTGCACGCGAACCACACCAATAGATTGCAATCTCCAAATGTACTCTCTTGTTAGAATGAGTGAGCTTGTTCTATTTTCCTATCACCACTCGAAATCTCAAAACTGAAATGAAAAAACAATATATCCACAAATCTAAGCCACTACGATGCCAGAATGCCTTAATTACGTGCGTCAAATACGTCGTACACATGCATAAGCAATAGATTCAGTCTTATCGGTGAAATAATTCCACAAATCCTGCCAAGAGTTGTGGTAAATTACTGCGGAATTGATCTGCTATTCCAAATGTGCTGAGAGTTACGGTAACAAATTCACAATCGAATGAGTGATGCGCTGAGAAAAAAATCTACTCTTTACGACTCTTCAAGGTAAGATTTTCGATTGTGTTCGCATTTTTTAGAATCTCCATTTTTCAGCAATTCAAAATGCATAACTTTTTCAGTTGAAAGCAAACTATTTGATGAAAGCGTTTGAGATAGCGAAGAACATAATTCTCATTCAGATATCGTGAATGAATGAATACTTGTTGGTGTTTGAAGATGTTTGCGAAAATTTTTTAAAGAGATAACATTCTTTAGTGGTTTCGTTCGTAGAGAAACTTCCAAATTTACGAGTGGCGAGGGACTTTGCTTGATGATTAAGTGTGTCTATGCATAGACTGAACGCTTGAATCTGAATTGAGTTTGAAGCCAGCAAGAATGTGACGTCAGTACAACTTGTTAGTTTGCATTGTTACGATTGCTGCAATTGATGTCATGTCGAAGTCGATGCTATTTTTTTTATGGCAGCACATGCTCACTCGGCTTGTTCCGTTGGTCCTTTGAGAAAATGAATCATTGGACGTGAATATCGAATCAAACACCATCTTAGAACCGTTCGGTTCATAAAATTTCTACAAGTTTTTTATTTAGATTAATTCTATTCAAAACTCCGCATCAGAAATTCGCTAAATCGAAGTACTTCTTAAGATTTTCGGAAGTTATGAAAGCTTCCACCAGATTCATCCCCTCTAATGAATATGGACAAAAGAGCTTGAATCAGTGGGATGTTTTAGTGCAATTGTTAGCTTGTTCCACATCCAAACTAAGCACAATGACAACGTGAACCAAAATAAACTTCGTAAAATTCATTCACTGGAAAGTTCAAAACCTTTTCTATTTATGATCGTCCAAGATCGATTAGTCTACGAAAGAAAAAGCCCTGACATCACTTCTTCACCAATCGAAGAACTCTTCTGATTAGTTTCTAATTAATTTTTGAAATGCCATTAGCAAGTGGGCTTTTCGAATACAATTTCTTGTTAGGAAAACTTTTCGAATACAACTATGCACGAAACATGAAATGTGTTAAAAGAAGGTGCTAGTTCAGTGCTTGTGAATGACTTATCTTGATGTGATACATTAATTTTTTCATGCAATAGTCAGCGTTCATCAAACCATCACTTGTTTGAGATTTTATTGGATTGACAGTTTTGCTGTTAGCATGCAATATGCTGCGGGACATCATTTATGCTCGTTCGTGTCTGAATTCGAATTGTGTTTTCGAGGTAAAAGCCTAAACGCAAGAAAAAATTGGAATTGCGAGCCTTAAGTGAGAACATAAATCGTCGTCGCAACCGAATGAGATGATGGATAATGAATAGAGAAGGAGGACGCAATGCAAAATCACTGAAATAATCTGTGGATGTCGTGAAACTAAAGCAATTAATCAACTATCGCTTAAACGGTATTCAACTTATGGCTAATTATTATGTGAAGAGTGGTACTGATATGATCAATAGCCAAAAAACACTGAACTCATCAAAAAATGAGTCAATTTTATTGAATTCACAATTCAGATCGATCTTATTTCATAAACCAGCGAACACTATGATCTGGTTTGATTGTGATGCAAGATTGGTGGAATAGTCAAAAAAAAAAAACTCACGTAATTGCATAGCACGTTCAATGTCTGCTCTTGTTAGCTCGTTAGCACGATAACGAATATTCGGCTTATCGACAACAACTGGTGATTGAATATAGTAATTGAGTGGGAAAACTCTCGTACTAGGGTCAGTATTATTACTATTAGCACTCGTATTCGGTATGAACGTTCGGTGTTCAGTACCGGCCTTCCGAAACGGTATCACTGAATATGGTGAGGGCAATCGATTGGCTTGATTAGCATCTACAGCTGGTCGATTCAATGATGAGGAAGCAACTACAGTTGCTTGCGATTTTGAAGGGACCTTTCGATTCGTGGACTGATTGTGTTTGGGTGCAGTGAGCTTCCTTGCACCCAAATTCATCATCCCTGCATATGGTCGATATTTTGACTTATGTCTTGATTTATGACGCGGAATCACCGTCGTCGTTCCAGAGGCGGTGCTGGCCGAGAAATGAGACGTATCTGTTGTATCGGTTTTGCTAGGTAAACTCCGGTGATAGTTAAAATCACCATTCACATCAGTGGTGTGTATAGTGGTTACAGAATGATCAATTTGTTTGAGATGGTTACTAGGTTTAGACGAGAAACTATCAGAATAATTACCGTCATGATGCTTGAGAAGCAGCAATAGAAATGGAAAGCCGAGTAGGGTTGATAGGACCATCGATTCGAAATGTCGATGGGAAGCGGACGATGACAGAATGCTTGACTGATGCAAAAATTAGGCGATGTTCCCTTCTGGACACAGTTGAAATCGAACGACACTGATGATTTTTCTGGTTAGAAAACCAGCACAATTGTGACGTTCCCTTCGGGAACTTCAGAGAGCTGAGACTGATGTCGCCTTGATTCAATCTGTTCGTACGCTACTGATGCGCTTGTTGACTGCCGCCTGAAGACGTGGCACGGAAACAAACCATGAACACATTACTGGGTTCAACATAAAGGCGTGGCTGCTCAATGCGGCGACATCTCACCACCATTCTAGAATATAATCAAATAGCATCAAGCAGTGCGTGATTTCATGATTATTGCATGGCCGCAACAATTACTCTGTTTAAAGCTTTTGAAGCTGTCAGCCCTCACAGGCGACAATTTCGAGCGGAACGAATGATTTGAAAATGTGTGTAACGAACGAGTGCAATCGCAAAGCACAATTGAACAACGAACAATCTACTCAAAAAGAATGTTTTTTTTTTTGGTGACCAAATTGTTATGAAAGTTGAAATGCTTGAATAGAGTTTTGGAAGTTTCGATAATAATCCTCGATTGAGATAACATGTTTGACGACTGGTAATACCATGATTTTAGAGTGAGTTTTGCTATTCGCAGCGAGCGAAAATTGTTTTGATTGTCAATTCGTTGGCACTTTCACGAACGGCACCACGGCGATTTCTGAAACTGAAATCTGTCAATTCAACTTGTTAACGTTAGTGTTTCGAAAAAGTTAAATCACCAGTTTATGATGTGTCTAAGCGATGCACTTGACACTATTAAGACAAATGATCATCAGCCATCTGCAGAAAGCAGGAACAACGATTACACTCATCATATCAGTGGGTCAATGATATGTCAAAACTATTTGTGGATTCTATCCGCAATTATTCTTCACAATTTTTTTAAAATCTCAGTGAACAAATACCAAAAAATAGATTCCTTTTCATGGCACTATTTCCTGGAAAACAATTCCGCAATGGCCACTGAACAATGGCTCAAGGTCAGAAATGACTGACTGCTCACATAGTGACTGCTTGAGAAAGAGCAATAGAAATGGCGAATTATTGTCATATCCAATTATTTGAATGCTAAAAATAGTGTAAAATAATGAAAGTGACATAATTTGAGCGTTATGATGCTAATTGTAAGCAATAACAAAAGTTTTGTTCGGTATTCAAATGCATTCAGCTAATAAACAGTCGTCGGCTCACTAGCTAACTAATAGGAATGTTTTCACATGAAATGCAATCAACTTGTGTAATACAACGGAGAATTGCTATTTTCATTGAATTGTTTTCATTTATTCGTTCGAAACTGTGACCACTTCTTCGTGGGTACGTTAAGAAAAGTGTTTCGTGTCGCTTCTCAGTGCAAAATGAACCATGCATTGTGACAATCCGATCAGCAGACACGCAAGCAAGCAAAACAGCCAAAAAGTTTGGTGTTCACTCAAAATTGAATTCGTCATGAAATTAATAATGATGTTTGCTCGACGTTGTCGGACATTAAATTATCAGTGATGAATTGTGAATGACACAAACAACAACAGCATTTACGGAGACTTTTCATTTAGGATATGCTCGTGTTGTCATTTGAAATTATGCTCCTGATGAACCAACTCACCGGGCGTTTGGAAACACACAACGAAGCTGGATGAGCACTTTTCAACAAATCAAATTAAGGCATAAGTTATCCTAATCAATTTTTACAGATATAATTTTCCGAAGGACCCTTCAGGCATATCCACCAATTAAGCATACTCGACGGAATGAGTTCTTATTTTCTGTCTCATCATCCTGTTCCTAGCAAAGTCAATGAAAGGTTCATAAATATTCCCGATGATCCGACGTAATAGAATCGATCAACTATACAACTTGTGTCTTTTATGGACCTCTTCGATTTTTGGTTGATAATTTTGCCTTGTATGTATCTTTCCTCATATATTGCATAACCAGATGTCAAGTAACTATGGACGGACCCCATTGGAAGTTGATGGAAACAATATTAAAGATGCGTTAAAGAGTCGTAACGGATCAGCGAAGGACGCCTGAGCATGGCACCTTTTACGAGCATTTGCGTGCATGTTTTGCCTCAAACGTTCCAATTTCTCAAGGTAGCCAATTAAACAATGCAGTCAAATTGGATATTATTCGGATATTCAACCAATGAATCAGTACATAAAGATGCTAAAATGTGGTGATGAAATTTCATTAAGTGTGTGTTTATTCGAGTAAATTGCAACGATAAATCATGCATTATGAGAAAAAGGATGCATGTAATTTGTCGAGAACGCATGCTGAAGTGACATTAAACAATGTCATAAACGAATATTTTTTAGTCACTAACTAGTGGTAAGGTTTATAAGTTGAAATTGAATGAATGCTAGCTAATTTTTAAGTTTTATTTTAATAGCGGCTCATGGTATGATTTCATGATTAAACAAGCTGTTGTTTCGGTGAGAAACGAAAGAAAAATTAAGCGAATTTTTTTTTTCAGGAAGCCAAACAATCGTATCGAATTCTGATCGAATTAACTTTTTAACAACTCCTCGCATTGAAGTTTTGACATAGTCTTGCGTGAGACTAGAAGAAAAGAACAGATTTCGTTGGATTCTAAAATTATGCATCAACGAGCGATGAACTTTTCTGGTTTCTTTAGAGACGTCTGTGGTTAATCTAAGCAAAAGTAATGGTGTCACAATTGTATCTGAAAATACAGATGGTCTGAAGTTGACGCGCTGGATGCAATCGGTCAATCTTTTTGCGGATTGCCATGGTCAAAATTTGAAATCGTGGTCAATCTCTCAAAGTAATCAAATCTTATCAAGGTTTCGTGCAGTTCGATAACATCTGAAGGCTTCCACTTGTAGCAACTTCAAAATGCTCCAAACTGTTAGAAGATGCAATCATATCGTTCGCTTCAACACAGTACTCATTGCACTTCTATAGCACTGATTCTCAAATTCGGGTGCTCAATTACCCATTTTGATGATCTGGCAGGCCGCCGTTACCTCCCCCTCCCTGTGGAAATCGCCGGTGGAAATTGCACAATTGTGTACAGATGACGTTCCATGATGGTAATCAACATCGTTGGGCCTTCTTTTAGACCGTTGTGTTCCTCTGTATTGCAATCGATTATGACTGCATGGAAAGCTATTTTCTGTGACATGTTCACTTCAAACTCATTTAGATGGATTCTCATTCTTTTCAGACGTGTTCTATTCACTCTCATAACTATTGCATGCGAATGTCGTTCTATTGATGAGTTTTTCTCATTCACTTCGTTTCATTTCACTTCACAGTTCGAATTAACTTCTCATTCTGTAGCAAATACTATTTACTCGATACGTTGACAAGTATTGACAGCCGAAATCAACAGTACAGCAATCGAATATTATTGTTGAACAACATTCGACAGTCAAATGATCGATTACAGAGTGTATTTTATAGAATGAGAAT